AACCCTCATGGGCTGACTGCTGCACTTGTGTCAGCCATCATGCTTATGACTCTGTGAGTCATAATTCAGTGAAATCTGAACACACTGACATGAGACATATATATAGATTCAAGGTGACTTACACTTTCCAAAGTTATCATTATCTCTAATGTTCATTATGAAGAGATATCTTTAAAATCCACTTAGAAATCAAGACACTCTAATACGTCTTACAATGATTATGTGTTGGGCGTTAGGCGAATAGCTTTGTAGTGGACCATCCGGCACCAAATGCACCAAATCCACTTACGTGGAGGCAGGTTTTGGGGCAGGGGGCGAGGTTGTTTTGATGTTGTCTAAGAGGGGGCCATCAGTGTCTGACTTCAAAAATAGCTGGTCAAGAAAATTTTTAGTGTCTTTACCTTACCTATCATTTTTTTAACTGCTGTCTGAGCCATCAGTCAGACAAACAGCGCACCCAACAGTCGACATCCAAACTATCAGTTTGTTATAGGTGTTGCATCAAGGTGGAAGATGAAAACAGATATGTCAAGGCACAAGGGACGTGGAAAATATTAGTGTGTGGCAGCATACTGTCTGTTCTATAAAAAGAAGGAACATGGGCCAAATTTAATCTCAGATCTCACCAGGCAAACACTTTAAACAGAGCTTTCTGGTTTGTCAGGATCATGCCAGCAAACCTGCCTGTGACAAGACCAGTGTCAGCAAATGATTCAGAAAATGATTTGAAACAATACACACTTTGAAAGAATGAAAAAAGATTGGAAAACAACCTCTGTGTGGCCACTTGCCATTAAAATGTATGTATAGGTGTATGCGTACGCACACATGTGATGACAGCAGGCTGGGATGTGTGAGCGGCTGCTGTTGATCTGTCGATGAAGTTGTGGGTGTCATGTGTGGGTGATGATTTGGGGCGTCGCTGTCATAGGAAGTGAGGAAGGGAGCGGTGTGAAAACTGGAGACCCACCACTTCCTTCATCAACACAACCCCCTGGTGACAGCTGTCATATTGCCATGGTAACTAGTGACGCCTATTTGATGCAAAGCTTATTTATACTCTTAGTTCAACTTTCAAGTGGCTGGCTTGCTTGATCAGCCTTCTTCATACACAGTTTCTTTACCTTTGGCTTCCATATGAGATGCACAGGGTTTTCAGTAGAGTGAAGTGTTAACCCATTGGCATCAGACCAACACGACACAACAACAGTGTTTGTGATAACGTAATATATGCTGGGAGAAGACCAGCGTGACCGTTGTGATTTTGAATCAGTGAGTGTTTTTAACCCAAGCCATGATCTTTACCTAATCCTAACAGTAGGGATATAATGATATTTGTCATTTTTTATAATGATGCCATATTGCAACAGAAAAATTTCTCAGTACCTTCACGGGACTGTGACAGTATCTGCCAGGATATTACATATGGTTATTTCACTAATATAAGTGTGTTCAGGTTGCAGAATCTGGAACCGACATAGTGCATGCTCCATAGCGACCTTTCAGACCTGGTGTGTGGCAGCATTTCAGAAATGACACCGGTGGAAAGGAAGCTGAATAACAACTTGTAAATACTGCTGAATGAAGGTGATCCTAGCCCAGTTTAAGTCTGAGACAGTCCTGGATACGTCTCACAGAAACAGTTGGGGCATGGCTGTGTGCTACATTTTAACGAAGATGAGCAAACCAACCAGACACACATACTCAAAACCAACTACTTAGTAGACAACCCTTAAATATCTTCTCTTGAAAAAGTAGACCATGATGTTTGAAAAACACCTCCAGTAAAGCACAAACTTTTTCTTCATCATTTTTTAATATTGAGATATATATTGTATCGTAGACTCTTTACTGTGACAAGTTCTTACCGTGGGTTTTTGGTATTGTTACATCCCCACCTAAAGATTCTAGTGCCTAAACCAAATCACCTAGTTTTTTATTCAATGACATTTTGCCAAGTAACTTTGGTGTGTCATAGTGATGCAAATGGGTTAACACTGTACTCTACTGAAAACCCAGCACATCTCATACGAACACCAAAGATACCTTTTGCCATCAGTATGAGATGCCAAAGATTATTAGGAGTGTCAGAATTTGATGCCCTGGGATGAAAATGTTGGCTTGATCGTATTGTATGACTCATCTGCCAACAGGGTTGTAGGTGGCCTAATGAAAGGCTCTTGGCTCTACCGCCAGTCACATCCAGTTCTCAAGCTGATAATTACACTTTTAAGACAATATACCATTTAGAACTAGACTAGACTGTTTACTCTGCAGGTGTCAAAGAGAAGAAAGTGTTTCAGACTCGTCATGTCTTAAGTATCTCTATTTTCTCACACACCATAGTCTCTCAGTCAAGCCATGCAACAATGGCTGTCATGACCTCACTCGTTATAGAGACCATATTCCAGTCTGTCTTTCCAAGGAGCACAGATGCTACCTGTAGGTGCAGTGAATTATGGTCATTGCAGTTCACTAGCCTACTTAAGGTGTTTGGAAGAGTTAAATCTTGATTGCAAGAACAGAGACATTTTAATTGGCACTATTTTATTTGTGGAATTACTGCGAGTCACGTGCTGAGTGAACAGTGGGTTTGTTGGTCTGGATAGTTAAGCTCAGTCACCCAGGTGGTACAATGTCTGGATGTAGCTGAATCCAAGTCACTAGACTGGAGTCTTCAGTCACACAATCTGGTTTTTGATTGAAGACAAAGTTTTTTGTTTTTGTCTTTTTAATTGTATTTTAAGCTCATTTCTGGGGTGATTGTTTAAAAGACATGAATAGGTGTACCAGTGCAATACAGTTTAAACTTACTGCAAATATATTGGTATCTAACAATGAATATGTCATAATGTCTGTGAATCCAGAACCTGGTTTAGCCCTGTTTCTTCTGTGCCCCAGACCTCTGTTGCTGTCCAAGCACTTTTAACAACACACCAGTGAGCCGTGCTGCTCTGTGAAAAAGCCACATTGTATAGGATTTGTGGAAATAAAATAAAAAGAAAAATTGACCAGCCTTAACCTTCAGGAGTATAGTTGAGAAATTAGTCAAAGTGGCTAAGAGCATGTTCCTATATGAGTCTTTTAATTATGTCATCTTCTTGCACCGCTCCTTTGCAGTGGCTTATCGGTATTTGACCGGAGATTTACCACAACCAACTGTTTAATTTGATTTGAGTTTGTGTACTGTGCTGTGTTTGTGTAATGATAGTGGTTATTAGATGTTAGTTTGCATTTTGTTTTGCCAATTTTTAAGGTAATTTGCTTAAAATGTTCACTATATTTGAATGGAACCCTGACTAATGAGTGATGGTTGGCAAATATCCTCAATGTTTGCAGCACCAGTGAATGTGTATGAGTGTGTGTGTACGTCTCTTTTACACATTCTCTTTCTCCTCCTTGTGCAAACGGACAAATAGAGACTTCCTAGAGATAAGCTTCGACCTTTGTCATTTTATATCCTCTTTGATCTGACAAGCAGCCATGTGTAAACGCAAAAAACCTTTAATTCTCTGATTCATAGGCCTTCTCAGTCTTGCCTTGTGACAGGCACCAGTCTGCTGCTGCTCTTAATGTCTTTCAGCAAGAATTTATGTCTGTGTCCATGCCTCTTTCCTCTTGTTTTCTACTCAGCCCGTTAGAGAATACCTCACCAGAGGTTCTCTGGAACGCCTTGCCTCAGAGCCACACTAATGAAAGGTATTATACATTACAAAGTGTTTGATTTAAGGGTGATTTACAGTCCTTTCCCTCAGTAGTGAGGAATGGAAGCCTTCCTAGAGATAAGCTCCAAACCCATCAGCGAGATTCAAAGGACATTAAAGGGTTCAGACTGTGTATAGGATTAATCATGTGTGTAAAAACCACAAAGAAATGTTTCTATCAGATGTGACATTTCCATAACAGAGCGAGAGGCATGTGAGTTATTATGAGCCCAGAATCAACAGCAGCTTCCCTGATATGCAGCCGAGCATGCAGAGCTGCATGTTTAGGTGCTCAATTGTTGCATGTATCTGTCACTGATCTGGTGCTGACACAAACATCACTTCTGTCAGTGTAAAAACAAGATACTACAAATGTTCTTGAACAAGAGCAGATAACCTTTTTGCATTTCTGCTCCCCATATGGATTTCCTTTTGTGCTGCGATACCAAACTAAAAGAAAAAAAAATCATACATTGTTACTACATTTGCTGGTGAAAGAACAACTATTTAAATATTGTTAAGCAACAGAGTAAAAAAAAATATATTCACAAATCCCCCCCCGCTTGCCAGTTTTAATAATTGGCAAGATGTCACTTACCACCTACACTATACCCTAATACCTGACAGCTTGTAACCAGCAGCATTTAATCACCGCTGACAACTGATAATCCATGCCTCAGCACTGATGGATCACTGGCTTTTTTATTTTTGCTTCCTCCTCACCCTTCTTTGTTTTTGTCTCCCTGTTAGACACAGGGCTGTTTGCAGTTGGGATATGTGATAATTTAGTGTGAATTGCTTTTAAGAATTTCTTGGATCCTATCCACGGGTGTGAGCTGTTGCAGGGTTGAATTTGTAGATTGCCTACAAAGGATTCAGCAGACTTGATGTAAATTTATAAGGACACTGCTGCTGTAACACCCGCTTTGATGGCCGTCGTGGTGGCTATCATTTGTCGTCCATATGGCATGTTGTGTGTGATATGCTTCTCCTGTTCAGCAAGTACTGTGGGAGATTTATTTTTTCTGTCTGTAGCTAATTGCTCCAGCACAGAACACACTGAAATTAAAGTTGTTTTTTTTTTGTTTTTTTTTTTGGTTGCAAAATAACTAGATTTTCAGATTGCATGTTTATATGAATAAAAAATATTACAGCACATGCTCCTGGGTGTAAATAAATTGGCTTATTTGGTCATTTGAGTTTCTGCATTATTTATAGTTGTCAACACTGCTATATAATAAAGGGAGTATGATGTTTAGTCCTGGGTTCAGAGGCAAAATAAAGTGGACTGAAACAAATAATATTCACTTGTTTAACTCACAGATTTGAATGCATGTCTTGCATTGCCTCAAGCAAGAGCCGTTTTTATCATGACTCATTTGTATACTTTCATAATGAAGTAGGAATGCCTGGCTTCATAGCATATACATTTATTAACATCACCAACATTCAGTGGACTCACCTGTTATCAAATGTATTCCTATGTAGTCAAAGAAAGCAGATTTTATTTTATTTTAGATATTGGAATATGTCATATTCAGTTTTCATTTAATGCTCTCCTAAGCTACAAGTGGAGCTGTGCTTTGTTGAAAAGTTAATAACTAAAAAATGTTTTCCATCTCACAAAATGGGGAACAAATTCAGGAAGATCATGTTACTGTTTTCTAAACATACATCACTACTCTTCAGTAGAGCCACATGAGGGAGAGAGAGTAGTTGCTGGACAATGATTTGCTTTGAAGACTTCACTTCCCAAAAGAAAACACTTCATCCTTAAGAGGTTGCCAAGCTCTTGCCAAATAAGCACTTACTGTACTTTGAGAGATGAACGACAGCGAGCCAAAGCCAAACATTATAAAACAAATCTTCTCCATCAACCAGAATCAAGTTGATATTCTGCAGTTCACTGCGGTGTTGCTTAGCCTTTGAAGAAAAAATGTATGCCTTTATATATATGAATCTTTGACAGAGTGAAACGTGATGGATATGCAAAAGGCTTGACAGCAATGATTTCCTCAAAGTGATACCATAAGGGAGAATAACAGCCAGTTCTTACTGCATGCACTGATTTAAAGAATTTACAGCTTGAGTTAACACCTAATCAGCCAGTGAGCTAGGATAAAGACCAGCAAGGTAACTGGTCTTTAATGTCTTTCTTTGATTTCCTGCTGTCCTCAGGTGATCCAGACCATAAGTGCAGTGGATAAGGACGAACCTCTGAGCGGCCATCGCTTTTATTTCGCACTGGCTGCACCTGTTGCCGGCAACCTCAACTTCACTCTGCGAGATAACAAAGGTGTGACACCCATCTATGTTATTCTTTCTTATTATTTCAGAGTACCTGGTCCTACAGTTGTTTTGTGATTATCTATAGTTATATAAAAGTGTCTCTCAGCCAAATTCAGAGGTGTGAAAGTCTGCAGGTCCTGAAAATTCTTAAAAAGCAGTGAATTCGGTTTCATCTAAAAGGAGTTGTATTTTCTTGCCTGCCACAGGCAGCACAGTTAGTTATAAAACATTTTTATGTTACTGTTTTTGGGAGACATTAAGCACCTATAAACTAAAGTAAGATTATTTTGACAGTGAACTGTGAGCACAGGAGGCTGTTCAACCTTTTTTTTCCCCAGTCGTCACTACTGCTGCCTAAAACCACTGCAATGGGCAAGTGTCAGTTGTAGCTCAAGCTTAAAATAATGTAAATGTTAATCACTTTTCATTGGTTAATTAGTAATTTTCAGCCACTTATCTGGCACCTGACAGGAGCACGCAGAGCTTGTAAAACTATCAGACATTTAAATGAATTCTCACGAGAACTCTCCAGTGATGACTGTATTTTGTGTAATATTCATAGCTGTTATTAGGAATGATAATTAATAACAACAGTGATAATTGGAGGAAGCATCAGCTGCACTGTTTACAAAGTTACACATGCTACATTATTCTTGAGCAAGATGAGACTTTTTTTTTATAGCCCCCCACCTCGTGCGTGAGGTATGAGCCCCACACAGGCACAACTAGCCTATTACCTCCTGTAGTTTACATAATCCTCTCTGCTGCCACCGGTGAGGATGACTAGTGCTCAGTATAGAAAGATTATACTGTAAGGATCTTAAAACAAATAACAGAAAAACGGGAATATAACTTGCTTTTCCATTTATTTGATTAACCTTTTTAAAGACGGAAACATGCAAATACACAAAAATAATTTTAAAAATTGTTTGGCATTTCATTTATAATAATTCAACTGTTTCACTTTGTAATGTAATAGAGTACGAGTAAAGTATCACAGAGTGGAAATACTCAAGTAAAGTGCAAGTGTATAAATATTATACTTGAGTAAATGTGATACTGCCACTACTTGTATTATAGTGTATAAATCTATGTGGTCTTAAATGGTCTTAAGCTGAACTTGGTGAAACCCTGGAAGAAACCCTGCAGTCAGTCACCAATTTAAAGTTATACTAAATTTCTCTGTCCTCGTCAAAGCTCCAGGTGTCAGATCGGCTCTGTTGTGTGCAGCTGCTAAATCAAAAACTCCCCAGAGTAAAAAGCCAGTGGCCTTCAGAGTTTGTAAAAGGTGTTGGGCAAGTCAGGTATGGTCTATTTGCTGCTTACTTCCTTTGAATTGAGCCTGGCAGCAATGCAATTGACACTCACTGGCTCTCTGTATCTGCCCTGCATCTGGACACAATCTACTCCGCAATCTGACTCACGAGGTGAAGTACAGAGGAACCAGTGCCTCCTGGCAAGCCCAGCCGTGCCAAATGAAACCATAATTCTACTATGACAGTGCCCTCTCTACCCTTGTTTGTAATTGTTCATCAAAACTGAATGTAAAAACAAACATTCCTCTGTAACTGGAGCACATCAGAGATAACTCAGTTTGTGCCCCAGCTTTGTTCTGCTCAGAGCAGGGGCTCTGTGTACTAAATCACAGAACAACCTCACTTTAATACACAAGTGGAAAATTTGCCCTTGTATGACAATAATTTGCTCCCCACCTACATGCAAAGCAGTGGGTAGAAAAAATTAGCTTCTCCTGTAGGAAAACGTAAGCGATGATTTGCTTATACAGTAGCTGCAAGAACAACGTACTTACATGAATCTCTGCAAATGCAAAGCTGGTTCAGACATTCAACAGACTTTACCCCCCCAGCTCAATATCTGTTTGAGCCCATGTGTGAATAGAGAAGTTTGTTTCCCGGAGACATCACACCGAGCTAGTTGGTGTGTTGATGATTTCTTCATATGGCTATCATGAAATCATAAGAATACAAACATCCAAGGATGAAGAAGAAGGGTCATGGACACAATGGCCCCGTTTCCATCAGAGGAACCTTCTCCCGTGAGCAGGAACCTTTTCTGAACGTAGTTTCTCTACCTGTGTTTCCACTGGAGCATCCAGGATCTAAATTTAGTTCCAGCCATAGTTCTACCCCACAAAGGCCAAGAACTATCGGTGTGGGGGCTGCAGTGCTGAACGTTGCTGACTGGCCAAATACAGGGCTCTACGGTGTGAGCATTTCACTCGGATATGCAAGTAAAACTCAGTGTGCCATTGTGAAAAATGATTAGGGCGTACTGATGCATGTGACTCCGAGCTCCTTGGGTTCTTGGTTTGTAAGAAACATTTTATCATGAAGAGAACTGTGAGTGAGGTTAGTGGATTGGAAAATATATTTTCGGTGTTTGTAGAGCGGCTTCTCCTGGTGTTTGACCTGAGGGTGGAGCTCAGTTCTCCACACATGGAGGAGGGCATGACATTAGCTGAAGTGAAACATTACTCTGAGTTATCAGTCCCTAAGCTTGTTACTGTATGTACAATGAAACCTTGGCAATTGGAAAAAAAAACACCTGTTAAAGAAGCATGAACGTGCAGAAAAGCGATTATTTCAGCTCTGCCTGCAGTCTGTCCTCCACCGCTGGGATGTGTTCACCATGCGTTAACCATTTTACATGCAGCATTCTTATAACCCTGCTGCCAACAGTCGTGTTTTTACATCAGTGGGCTAATTAGTTTCATCTCATCTGGGCTTCGGCCCTGCTGTGGAAATGCAAATCACAATGCGCTCGAGGGTCTTTTACCCCAGGGGCAGTTCATGGAGTTTAGTTCCTGGGAATAAAAACTTCCAGGGACTTTCTGGTGGAAACACAGCCAAAAAAGTCTAACTGGAGACACGACAAATTTGGGAACTTCTCTTGTTAAGGGCAGATGCCGAAGATTGGCAAGTGACTCTGGCACCGCTATAACTTTTCATAGACTGACCCCTGCCAATCCCAAACTAGTCAGCACAGTTTCACTAATCACAGACACTTCCCCAGCTGTGTATTTATAGCAGCAGGGTCGAGGTAACTATTTGAGACTTCCTCATCAGTTCTATCTTTTCTTAGGGCTAACTGAAGAGTGGAGGCTGATGTAGCAGCGTGTCCAAAGTTTTAGAGATGTTCAACAGTAACCTATAGCTGTAACATCCCAGTTCTCATACACTTGCTGTGTAGCTTTAATGCCTTAGTGTCCTATTTTGCTGTTCTGCTGAACACAGATGTCCCTTGAGAACAAATAACAGACACCGCCAAATGTCTCACACTTTGTACAAGAACACATTTAATTAAAAATTTAAGCATTTTATTTTCGAAGCCATGTGGTTTTCTTCACCCATGAGAACATTTAGCTGATTTTACTAATATGGCATTTGCAAGATCTCCATATTCACTTTTACCTTGTTCTTCCAAGAGCAATCTGAACATCACTCAGAAAAACAAAGGAGTTGTCCTACAAGGCAAAATCTACATTTCAATTATGACATTTCGAAAGTGTATTTCAATCTTTTCATGAAATGGGTTTTGTTGTAATGGCACACTGTTCTCCTCTGACTGCCTCTTTTTCCTCTCATATGCTGAGATTTCATATAAGAGCAAACTGTTATTAGCCAGCAGGTGGTCAAGACCAGAGAGAGGCGCCACACGTGTGTCATGTAATGAATTGTGTTAATGACAAC